TGTGAAAAACCTACTTCGTTGAGGGGGGAGGGGGTGTAGTCGCTCGCTTCTAAAGCTTCATGTCTATGACATCATACCAACATAACACGGGTCCGCGTTTTCTAGGGAGGGGGGTCCAAGGTCACTTTTAGTTGGTTTATTATATACATTTAATAACTCTGCAAATTCCAAGGGGGTTCGGACCCCTTGACCCCCCTCTAGATCCGCGCATGTGTAATATGCAAGAATCTTCATATGTGAATTCAACTTTTTCCATCATTCCAACTGTGGTTAGGATGAAGTGCCTAACAGGCCAAATCTTTTTAAGAGAATTTACACAATCTATATTGAATACTTGTTCTAAACAAAAAAATATAAAATAAGTCTTGATGAAGTAAAAAAAAATTATTGGTAACATCGGGTTAGAGGGAGTCAATACGATGACGTCATAATAAGAACACATCATAACAGACCAACGTCACAAAAGTTACGAACCATTTCTGTTGTCAAGAAAACATCTGGGATAATCTGAGACGGTACAACAGCTATAATCTTGAAACGATGGAGAGATTCGGAAACAAATCGATTGATCAGTGTCTAAAGTCAAGTCTGTTAGAGTACTTGTCAAAAACCAAAACCCGAACAATGACTCCAGTGGTAAGCTTCAACAGGAACTCCTGGTTATTTCTTTTTATAAGGAAATTAATAAAGCACATCGAAGAACTATTTTACAACATGCAGTGGCTTAGAAATTTATAAAAGATGATCAGGAATGTTCATTCTATATTTCCTTTTAATTTATTTTCTAGAGACGAAACATTCTACAAATCGTCATCTTTCTCTTTGGAAAAGAAACTTTGGACAAACATGAATATTTGTATTCCAACAAGAAAGACATTGCTGGTAAGACAATGAAATGTTTGTCTGTAATACCAAAGATTTTTCGATTTGTAAAAAGTATTAATAAGATTACAAAACCGTTAACAATGTACATACATGTAAAACATGCAAATCTATCTTTTTTTTGTTACCAGTGCAACAGAAGAGATTTATGATATTCTCGTATTTATTCATGGAAACATTGAAGAAAAACATGATTACAGACAAAGACATCGCAAATCATAATAGAATGTGGTCCCAACATTTGCAGGATCTGGTCAACGGTGGTAAGTTTCATTTATTATGTTGGTCCCAAATATACGCAAGGAATTAATTACCGCATAATTTCGCGAGAAGCAACACTCGCGAAATAAAATTGCTCGCTTTTATTTTAATGGTGCTGAAATGCGTGTAAAATTCGCTAGATCAACCGTCCACTCGCGAATTATTGTTATCGCGATTTAACGTCTAAGGGCCATTTCGCGATATAAAGTATAAAGGAATCTACAGTAAAACATTTTGTTTTGATTTGATAGAGTCTGATAGGTTTTTATTTATCTCTGTTAGGCGTATTTCTATATTCCAAACCTCTTCAGAATTCAGCTATTTCATCGATACTAATCGGATCTTTTTTCTTCAGGAAATGAAAAGAAAGCTAAAAAGTATCTTAGAATTTTAGAGGACGGGGAAGATACGATATTCAATGTAAGTATTATATCTGGGGCACTTCACTACCCTATTTAATCGGAGGCGGTCTATCTTAAATCTAATTTGTGTTTGTCGTTGATCCTTTGACCTCACAAAAATTCTCTACAGTTATTCATAAAACCAGTCATTTTTTCTTATTACAGATAAAACGATTTCAACGTCAGCTTAAAGCCACAGACTTACACGTAGAATTCTTGGCAAAAGGCGAAAATGATCTCGAAACGGAAATGGAGGAGCAGGAAATTAAGTTCCGTTGTAGGAGACCAAACTTGGTAGAGAGATTTGGAATGAAGCTGAAAAAGCTGTTTAATTAACATGACCCTAAAGACTCTTTTTTGCGAAGTTTCAGGACATCAACTAACATTCCAGAGAATCGTGTTTCGTTTGATGTATAAGCTTCGTATACTTGACTTTATATGTGTCATCATCACCACTACCATCATCCTTTTTTTAAATCGGTTTCTTCGTGGAATCATTCTTTTTAATCATTAAACTTCATTTTCATGCATCTACGTTGAAATTTTACTGATTTTTTTTTATATTGGTCGTGTTTTCAGAATCAGGTTCCATGGAGTTTTTGAGTCAATATTTTAATCTTTGATAAAAAAAATAAACTCATTTATCACTTTCAATGGTGTTAGTTTAATATTTCATTTTCGTCATAAAATCAGGTTTATATGTAATGTACGGAGAATGTTACGGTTAAAACAGTGTATATAGATACAGTGTCTTTCTCCGCGCATGTTTGTTTAAGGTTGTCTGGTGCCGCGGCTTACACAGGTGCGGACAGGGGTAGTAATCGTCATTTTGTAATTTTTAAAATTATCGAGTGGTTATTATAACAAAAAAAAATGTTGTATTCTACTTTTGTGTATTTCAATACTTTTACCCGATATATTAAGGAAAAAATGCAATATGACATCGTGATGGAGTAGTTACACTAAATAGTGAAAGGTGGCAATCCAAAGTTGGTGGTGGCAGTCCACAACTGGAAAGTTACATGTAGTGTAAGCAACGACAATGCACTGCTGCGGTGAGTAGTGCAGTAAGCAATGACATGCAGTCTACGATGTATTGTATGACAGTAAGCAAAGAATATTTATAAGCAATGGACCGGTAAAGAATTGTTGTTTTTATGGAATCTTATTGTTTTCGTTATTTTTTTTTAAATTATTTTTTTCCCAGATAGGCATGTCGGGTTTATACCTCTTCATGTTGTTATTTTTGTTTTTACTTCCACATGCGGTAAATTAAAAAAAAATGCACCGAAGGGGGGGGGGGGCTGGTGGTCCTGATTGGAATTCCAAAGTTTTCTCCGTGCCAGTTATGGTATAAACTGGGCGGGGTCTCATGTTTAAAGAATGAAGTTGAAAGATTCAGAAATGAACGGCACATGACCTAAACCGAAATGTAGTGCGATGTTATATTATGTATTCAGAACAAGGTTACTGTGAAGGTCTTTAAAGGTCATCAAAACTAATCGTGTAAAGGTATATGTACACCGAAGAACTCCTCAATCAATAAAAGAAAAACGAATTTAAACTAAATGGGCTGTGTAGGACACGATGGATGGGACGCTATGACTCTTTGAAGACGTTAATTAAGGAATCACCGTCTAGTTTGTTGGGAATGCCAGGGCATCAATGATAGTTGCAAACGTGGGATAATTTGCATCAAGATTTGGGTCGAAAGTGCAATGAAACCATAATGCGATCACGATGAAGCGATGTCGATAATGTGATGGCACGATGAAGCGATGGCGTTGATGATGATGACACGTTGGCGCGATGACGATGCCGCGATGAGATGAAGCGATTTACTATCGCACCATCGTCATTGCATTGTCGTGCTGCTATGATGGCGCGATGGTACGATGACGATGAAGCGATGTTCACCATCGTACTATCGCACCATTGTTGCGCCATCGCATTATCGTCATCGCACCATCGATTCATCGTCATCGCACCATCGCTTCGTCGTCATCGCGCCACCGCATTATCGCGCTATCGACCCTTCAGTCGATGCTCGATGATGCGATAGTGAACTACATTGCCCCATCCGGATTCTATAACGTGGCCCTATCCGAATTCTATACTTGTGATCGAAAATGCACATAAATATTCTTTTAAAAAATAATCGAACGTTATAAATAATATCATGGCGTATTTATCAATGAGAGAAAACACCCTACGATCATACTTTCACAATTAATTCTGCGAAAGAAGATATTACGTTTATCTGTATATCAAGCTTTGCTTAATCTTATGACAACCATCCTAAGGTTAGTTCATTTATTGCTTACAATAATCTTTAAATCTATCCACAGATTTTGAAAAAAGTGCTTCGTAAAATGTGCTGTTACTTTTAAAAATACATATTATATTTTGTTTAAATATCAAAATGGTCTTGATAACCATACAGAGCTACATATGCAAGCACTTGTATCAATTTAATATTAAACATAAGTCCCTTTTGTCGGAAGATGGCACATTTTGGTTGGGGCACAACAATGTGTCTATCAAGATGTTCGTCTTTCTTTTCATGTGTCTCTGTGTCTTTCGCAAGGTCAATGTATGAGATAACTCTTAAATCATTGATTTGAATAAATTCAATTTTTAGCATTATCTTGTCCAATACCTAGGAGTGCATATGATGTAAACTCAAGGTCAGACCTCGGAAAGCAAAGTAGTTAGGCTATGAGATAAAGAAATATTATCTAGGCTATAACTCTGAAGTCTTGACTAAAAATAAATCAAGCTTGCGTATGTTGTTGCTGATATTTCACAAATGTATCAACATCTTGAATTTAAACACCTTATAAAGGTTGATGTCACTGACAAAGAGATATTGAAATAGTGGTTATTCACAGAATGGGACGAATAAGGTGAAGATACGGAACAGTGATCAATCTTAAGAATTCCAACTTGAATATTTTAATACTGGTTTGCCTTGGTCATTTCCTAAATGTCAGTATCACTAGGTAATGAGGTACTGACGTTCTCGTTGGGCTTCAACTTATTTGGCAATACCAGTAATTAAGGTAGTACAAAACACCTGTGAAATTATTTTTAACTCATTTCTTCTGAGACATACAAAAAAAAAAAAAAAAGAATAAAGAATAAAATCGCACTAATGTCAATAAACGATGATCTTCGTTAGAAAAAAAAAATACTAAGACATGTATTAACCCTATTCTGTGAAAAAAAAAAATAAATAAATAAAAATAAAAATTGAGGCATCCTATATATTTGACATTTTCGAGCCTACTTTTAGAATGGAATTTGTTTAAATGTCATCTACATGCAATTTGACCGTCTGTTATTAAAAAAATTGTAACTTTTGATTCCTTGATAGTATAGACGTGGTATTTTGGTATAGATATAAGAACTGTAATTTGCCTATGTTCAGTATTATTTCATTCAACTTCCAGGTCACCATGTCAGATGTGGTATTTGGATTTTTTGCCTGCATTGCATTTATTGTTATAGTGGTCTTTAATGTTGGAGTTTTCACACCCAGCTGGCTAACTGTACATGAAACACCAGTAAATTCTTCCATCCCTTCAAAAATATGCCATTATGGTCTGTTTCACAGCGTAGATTGTCCAAACAATGAAAAAGGTAAGGCTTTGTAAGCTTTATGAGTAATACACTGGAAGTAAATACCTAACATCTAAATTTATTGTTTTAACAACAATGATAAACCTTTAGATTTATAAGTTTTTTATGACATACTCTAATGAAGATAATAAAAATTTGCATTCGGTGGATTCAACTTCCTACAAACTTTCAGAGGACAGGTCACAATACATGTCCTAGACAAACAATCAAATATCAAATATGATGTTAGAAAGAATTAGCTCAAAGCCAAACCTCAATTGCACTTAAAAGATCAAGGTTCGCTTTGAGCCCCTTTTAGCCCTGTGATTTTCTGAAAAATTAAAACTGCTTAGTTTTAGTTTACATTGCATTAATTTTAAATTGGACTTTTGGGACTGCATATCTATTGGAGATACATGGGTTATTTTCCCCAGATTTTGAACATTTCTAAACGGTCGAGTTTAAACGTATTTTTAATACTTCATGGGACAGCACAGCCTCTGATCCAAAATATGCGATTATGTAATGATAGAACTATTTGTGAAGATATGAAAGATATTTTATTTTTTTAGACCGAGGGGTGTGCTTATAATAATTCTTTGCTGAAGGACTAAAATACACCTGTTTTCTGCAACATTCAAAAAGACTGCAATTTAACAAAGCCTATTTCCCAATACCTGGACTCTCAGAAGAAACTTTGTTATAGGAAATGAAAGCACTTTATTTTGTATTGATGTTTAAAATGGGACATGGGGTGTTTTTAAATAAATTTATCTACAGTGCTATTATATGAATAAAATGAACCTTACTCTTCAATTTAAAGAATATTATTGCAAAGGTACATTTTAAGTTATTACTTTTAATTAAGTGATGAAAATTAAAATTTAAATAGCTACTTTCTCTTTTGCATACAAATGCAAGCGATTCAACTTTCAAGTCCATATTCTAGTGGAACGTAAACTTCTGGTGATATCGAAATATGTTACGAGCTTGAAAAATACAACCGAACAATCGTTAGATAAATTTTCATAACTTTATTTTGTAGCTTTTGACTGGACAGTTATTGCACTAAACATAGCGACATCTGTGAGTCTGACGATTATCCCATTTCTCTGGTGTATTTCATGCAAATTCTGGTGCTGCAAAGGGGACTACTCTGACGAAACATGCGCAGAAGGTTGCTGCAGTTGTTACTCGTTCTTTTATTTTGCTGGAGGTGAGAAAGGATGATACATGTACATGCACTAATACCATCGACAATTGTGAAGTTTTTGTCCCCCACTTTCACTGAACACTTTCATTCCCGCGCGATATCTCGAAATTTTACATAACAACTCCCTATGGCCTTAAGGTGATCTTGAGGTCAAAAGGTCAAAGGTCAAGGTCATAAATTCTGTCTGTTTTAACACTTTCGTTTCCGCGATATCTCGAGAAGCCTTTGAGCTTTTGCAATAATTTAAGATAACAACTCCCTGTGACCTAAGGAACACCTTATCGATTTTGAGGCCAAAAGGTCAAGGTCGTAAATTCATACATTCTGTCTGTGTGTAACACTTTCGTTTCCGGGCGATATCTCAAGATGATTTTGAGCTTTCGCAATGAAATTGTTATTACATGTAATACAGGTTGTCGGTGGACTTTATATTCTAATTACATCTATTAGAACTGTTTAATAAAGGCTAAATTAGACACCATGTAAAATTTTGACAATATCGAACGTGAATATATAGACATATATATGTGGCCTAATGTTTGGATTTAATTTGCTTTATAAGCAAGCGTTAGCACAGTTATTACATATAATACAGGTTGTCGGCGGACATTATGTTCTAATTACATCTAATAGAACTGTTTAGTAAAGGCTGAATTAGACACCCCATGTTTCTTTTTCTTTTGTTGAAATGTTTTTTTTCGATTTTCAAAATGATAGTATTCAACATATGAAATGAAGAAGTTATGACGTCTGGAGTGTGCAAACTTCTCATAAAATCATTATTACAGTGTGATAAATATTTTATATAGAAAGAATATTCTGAACACATATTAAAGAATAAGCAATCAAATCTATATATCCATATTCACATTTTTAATTTGCTTCATTAAACATGTATTCATTTAATAATTCTGAAAAATCTGGTGGAAAGGGGGGGGGGGGGTTCGGATCTGCGCATGCTCTTCTTTTTTCCTTAAGCGGGGGCACAGATTCTCTGAATTAGCTTAATAGAGTTAAGAAAGACCTCTTATGTTTGAGTTCTATGGTGATACAACGTTAGAACATTATCACAGAAGCACTACATCAAAATTTGTATATTCAGATGAACTAATCAAAATATCAAGATCTCTAGAATCGAGTAGTAAATTGAAGAATGCTGAAATACAAGAAAATACAAAATCTCGATTGCATGATATTGTTAATTCTTAAAAACTAACCTCAACATTCCTTTACGAGAAATTTTTTTTTCTTCTTTTTCTATACAGTTCCAGCCTATTTCTAAGTTGTTTTTTTCTTCAATAAGGCATGATTTCAGCTAATAAATGAGTAGGTCTTCTTTAAATTATGATTTCAAAAGCTTCAGTAACTTTTGTAGCATTTTGTCTTGATGAAAGACATTTAAACTATTGCAGGTTTAGTTTTCGTGGATTGTTAAAGCGACAAGTGGTCATTTGAACGTATTTTCTTTGTAGAACGTCTCATTATGGCAGATGCACGTAAACGTAAATTACACTACTTGTTGAGATTCTTAACGGATTGAGGCATAAAAATAGGACCCCCACAGAATATATTAAAGGATAACTGCACTTAACGCTGGGTTTTGGGTCTTTTTAGTCGCTTCTGTTGCTTTTATATCTTAACCTTGTTTCACTTTCGTATATTTTACTAAAGAATTCTGTCAATTTGGCACCAAAATTTAAATATTAAATGATTTTAGACCGTGATACAATAAAATAATTTTATGTTTTTTGTCCTTACTGTTTTCCAGATAAAGAGAATTTACACTTACCTGCCCTTGATTAAACATTAGGTATGCATGAGAGGTGGGGCTCATGGCCGTAGGAACCGGGGGGCACGGGGGGGCCGTGCCCCCCCCCCCCAATAATTTTGCCGATATATAGAATACTATAGAAAACATAGCTACTACGTGCTTGTGCCCCCTCAATAAGAACGTCTGATGACCTTTTTTTTTTTTTTTTTTTTTTTTTTTTTTTTTGCTTGTCAAGGAATTTTGGTAGTTGATAGTGCCCCTCAACTGAAAATGTATGATTGTGCCCCCTCCTACGGGCCTGGGGCTAACATTGTAAGAATGGCTCTAAAATTAGACTAGATAAATTACAATAACGTGTATAAAAATACGAGATTACTCTTTCCCATCTCTCCCTTTATTCTGTATGGCACAAGTACACTATTAACAAAGGTTTCAAAACGATATTAACAATATCAGCACGCCCACGTGAGGAAAGACTATTTTGAATTGATGCCTGACAATTCAACGTGTTCGAGCACAGTGTCCTAGTTAGCTTTACAAGTCACGTGACGGAATTTAGTATTCACAGAGTTACCTGAGGTAAGAAATCACGTGGGAAATTATAATATTCAACATGTCACAGCCCTTGGTTACAACAGAGAGAGCAAATGTAAGAGGAAGCAGTTTTTTCTCTTTTAAACCATGAGCGCATGTTTGTGTATTGATCTGTTTTTGACACAACATTATTAATGCAAATATACAATCGCCGTTAAACGGAGAACAATAGACAAACATGAGCTGACTATGTATAAAGTCAGCGAAAAAGTGGGCGTCCTCATTATCGTACGGAGATTCAAGAAATTGTAATGACCTCTACCTTTGAAAACAGCTTCGTACTTCGAAAATACATACTTTTATCTAATGTAATTACGTAAAGTTGTAGCTTAGATGTTGACCGTTTCTGCAATTAAAAGAAAAATGCTTGCTTTGAAAGTTTATTTTGTCGCAAATTTTAACATGCCCGTAAGTGCATTCATCCTTTACAGTACACGTTGTGACTTTTGTTGTTCGGTGTAGAAGACAGAAAGGGTTGGTTATTTTTTTAGTCACCTGAGTCACCCAGGTGTTTGTGTGTTTGTCTGTCGACGCGCATCGTTCGTCGGTCGTAAACTTTTGAACAATTTCAGCTTCTTCTCCTGAACCACTAAACCAATTTCAACAGTTTTGGCATATAACATCAGTGGGTAGAGGGGTACATAAAATATGAATACCATGGTTCCTGCCCCCTGGGGCCTGAGGGGTGGGACTAAAACCATCAAATTTAGTGCTATCTTTAAAATTCTTCTTCTTTATTCATGGACATAAAGCAGTCAAACTGTTGGCATGATTGTATTAAGCATTCAGCTCTCTACCAAATTGTAAAATTTATGACCCCAGGGTCAGGGGTTCTAGGGCTCTAAAGGTCATGTAGTGAAAATGCATAAATTCTTTAAAAATCTAGATATTAAATTAGCATACAGAATAATTGCATGTTTATGATGAGCAAGGGTGCCTCTTCTCATTGTGAAATTCTTGTAAAATTCGTGGCTCCAGGATCAGGAGTTCTGGTTCTGGTCAATCTACAAAATTGTTGAATTGTTGGGTACTCGTACATTGTGTACATATTGTGAACCTTAGATCTCAAAATCGGTCGGACGGGACAAGTACTCTATAGAAATGCTTCTACTTGAAAAGCACTTCTATGCAAATCGAATCAAATTGTGTTTCATGCATTGTCCTTCAGTGAACAACCGTGCAACTATTTTGTTTATTCCAGTTTTATTTAGCAAAATTGAACGTTTAAGAATAAAATAAATGTTATTTCTGATGAGAAGATTGAAAATATGTGATTCAAGAAAAAAGGACTGGCTTATTTTCTCTTTGATAAATACGAGAGAAGATACTTCAAAAGTTACCAATTTCTAATTTCTAATTTGAATTGTTTTCTTTTTTCTGATTTCAACATTTTTACGGGTGCATTAAATTAAAGCATATTTCAATACATAGTAGTGTAAAATCAGTTTAATTCGTTGGTCAATGTTCATGAAAACTAAAAATATTTCGTATAGACGTAATTTCGAGGATAACATGTATAGAAAAAGGTTCAATGAACCATAATGTTGACAACCTTATGACTCATAGGTAGGGGTGACCCATAAAATCCACGAATATTGGTTGTCCACGAACAATATTGATTCCACAGTAAATAATGCTTAGTACCTATATTTTGGAATACAATAAAGCAAATGAAAAAAAATGGATGACTTACTACCATCTTGAAATCCAAAACGAGGCTTCAGAGACGCCTTAATTGATTGCAAAACACATTACAAATATATCTTACACGATAATAATGTAGGTAACCAAGTAGCTACTATATTCACGGACCCCTTAGGTGCCTAATTGAATAAACACGTGTTTTGTAGGTTTCCTTGGTTTTGCATCAACGTTAATTGTTGTTTCAAAATTTGATCACGACCAGTTGGGATGGTCTTTCTTTCTAACAGCGGCTTCATCTTCTGTGATTCTGTTGCAGGTAACAAAATAATGATAGACATCTAGATTCATAAAATAGTAAAGTTACAATGATATTTTAGAGAATTCTTTACTTTTTAGGTAGTACTTTTAGTCACCTACTTTGTTTGCTCACGAAACATGAACGAAAAATGCACAATATTCCTTGTCTACAGAAGGCGGCATTCAAAATATGAGCGTTATTAGACTATGTAAATATCCAGTGTTCCAGAGCAGTTTCGTTTCTGACAACAAAATCATTCTCAGATTTAACTGTATGCAATTCATCTAAAACACTTATAGAAACATGAAGAGGACAATTTGAGAGATTAAAATCTTTATTGCACAAAAGATTGTTTGAATTAAATACCACTCAGTCCCACCCCTTTCATGATACAGTCAGATGGACTATGAGCATCCTAAAACAAAACAAAAATTTATAATTTAAATTTGGTTTTCAGGCACTAATTTGCTTTTGTTGATATGAATGAATCCATGATTGATTTGTAGAATTGAAATATACTGATGAACAATGCACATGTATATATGTGTAAAGTAAAGATTAACCATGATAATTGTTTGATTCTGGTATGATCAATGTAAAGTTATCGCTGTGGAATTTTCGTACTACTACTGATAACGATGTTTCCATAACTACTTTTTGTTAGTTTTCTGATAACACAATCTCTATTTATAGGTTTGCACTACCCCGTATGACTGTTGTCCCAGAGAAAAACGTGAACAATTTAATTTTTTTTTTGTCTTTCACTAATATTATAAATATAAACATTCGGTTGCACCATAATCAACACTTAAATATTTCAGAAAAATAGTTATATAATTAAATAGTATTTCTATCTGAGGTAAGCAAATCTTACAAATTTATTGATTTGTTCAGGAATCGTGCGTCTTCAGAAATTTGTTTCAATCGTAAATTCAATACTGCATTTGATTTGTGTCATTCATTCGTTACTATCTCTTTTCCTGTATGAACAGGAGTTACACACCGCTCATCTCAGTACTGAATGACAATTTTGTGCATTAGACGTGTATTTGTCATTTATGATGTTGAATTGATGCATTTTCCTGCATTAGTAATCCAGATCATAAATTTTGTCACATTATATTTTCGTGTAACTCGGTTATAAAGAAAGTATCGCTGGAAATACTATGTTTAAAAGCAGTGCGCCGACCACCGATATTTAATACAATGTACCTTTTAAATGCTGTCTCCTCAGACATAAAGCACTACAGCCTTGTAATATTTTGTTAAAATGACTGAAATATTATTTCCCAACAATTTAGCATTGAATTCTTACTTTTAGATGTCCTCGGTCCTATAACAGCATGCCGTGCCGATAAATTGATTATTTAATAGGGTGATTATTTTTAATTAAATTTAGCCAAACCAATATACATTTTGGTGTTCCTAAAGTATTGAAAATGCATATAGTTCGTACTGTGTATTTACCGTGCAGTGACAAGGTTTATTGTGTGGTTTAAGGTATTGAATGTTGTAGATTTCCAATGGATTTCATTAAAGATATACACGCTATAACACTGAAATTGGAAATTTATTTATTTTGTTTAGCAAATAAAGTTACGAAAATACTGTAAATTACACAATTGAAAATGAACGCGTTAGAAAGATCTCAAATTATAATTATTTATTTTCCTACTAGGAAAGTTATGCTTCTATTTAAATTTATGCGTCATGTAACACCGTCGCTACTTTTAGATTGATAAACAAAAATGGCGTCAAGAAAACGAGGTAGGCCGCTTGGTATACAAATAACTTTTGACATTGATGACACACATCTAATGCTTAAAGATACTTTTCTTTAAAACAACCAGTACATGTATTAACCATTTACTCTGTAATGACAAATATTAACCTTTTATCTATAATCGTAGTCAAAATGCAACGTACCTCGTCGTCTATGATTTCCCGCGGACATGCGTGTCTATATACTGTTTACGCACTTCCTTATTCAATATTCATGAAAAGGCTGAATTCTTAATTGCATATCTTGCTTAATTGTTATGTAATTACAACGACTTATTTAGTAAAACTTTGCGGAAAGTAATTGTTTTTTTATTACACATCATGTTTCTCAAATCATTTAATCATTTTGTTTCACATTAAAATCGCTTTTATATAGCGTGTATATCTTTAGGAAATTTACACTGAATGTAAATATTATGCAAATAATGAATAATTTTTGGCAAACAGTTTATAAAATACAGTGTATTTAAAAAGTTCACGTTATCTGGCACAACCCTCGTACACTATTACGAGCTGACATTAAACAATTATAACATTTTCAAATATCTTTTGAATCATTATGATGGACTGTTATTTACTCTCATGCATTGTATTTATATAATAAGAAATAAATTCTTAGTTTGAAAAAATGAATTTGTGTTCGATTGTCTTTTGAATACATTGTGTATCAATTTGATATGTACTTTTTAAATTTTCATTAGTGAGTTTTCGAATCTGGATTTTGCCCCAGGAATATCTTCTTTACAAACCACATAACGTATGAGAATCCAAAGTCGCTTACAGGATATATACAGATAAACACATGACATATGCGTGATGTTCTAGTAACAAGCTCTTTATTTGAAATACAGTCAACTCGACATCTGGGCATTTGGTAAAATGAAATTTTGCAAGGGAACAGACAGTAAAACGATCAAAGGTAGCATATATACAATAGAAAACAATCTACAGTGGGAAGAATAAATACAATATGTCTTATTAAACAGGACAACAGCTATACATCCCAACAGTTCATTATGCAATGTTACTCTCTACTATCAGTAAATCTGAAACTAAGAAGGAAATATTTCAATGAAATATGAGAAAACGAAGAGTTATCAAGCTCAAAAGTCAATTGAAACAATACAAATCGCTAGCAAAGCATACAGGGACCTCTTAAAACATCAATGGTGGGATTAGGTGCCATGGCAGATATCCATTGAGTATAAATATTAAAATGAGAATGATAAAATTTTGGGTAAAGCTGTTGAAATGTAAAGAGACAAAATCGTGTCATATTTTATATAATTTTTTATACAGCTCATCAATGTACAACACTGTTAATTGTAGCTTTAAATGGATTGAATGTATACGAAGTATTTCACAAGAATGTGGATTTAATTATGTCTCTATGACGCAGAGTGTTCACAATGAAAAATGGTTTTTGATTGTAATTAAGCAAACGCTGATTGATCAATTTAAACAAAACTGGAATTCAGATTGCGATACATCTACATGTAGTAAAGGCAAAATTTACAATTTGTTCACTAATAGTATTTTTACAACTAGAAACTACATGTATTTAAACATGAATGTGTCAATGAATATTATAATTACATTAGCAAGATTTAGAACTAGTAATCATAAATTACCGATACTTTCAAATCAAAGATTTTGTACTTTATGTAATAATGATACTGGAGACGAATACCATTATGTCACGTCCTGCTTTTAATGATTGTAGAAAATTGTATTTACCATCAACATATGTAAGTCGACCAAGTGCTTTTAAATTTAAGTTTTCAAATTTATTTTCATGTTTGTTTGTTTGTTTTTTTTTTTTTATTGTTTAACGTCTCTCTAGAATTTTTCACTCATATGAGGACGCCATCACTTGCCGATGGAGAGCTACAAATTTTGACCTATACTCGGCACTCAAGGCCATTGAGCAGTGAGGGATCTTTTTCGTGCCAACACCTACTGCGACACGGGACCTCGGTTTATACGGTCTCACCCAAAGGACCGGTCTCCACGTCCCACAGTGGGATTCGAACCCGCGACGTAAGGATCAACTCCTTACTCCGCGACTCTAGAGCGAACGCTCTAACCACTGCGCCAGGCGGGCGACTATTTTCATGTAAAAGGTATCTGTCATCAATAACCTTTGTAAATTCATCAATATAATTAATAAGAGAGTTACCCTTCCAGGTTAATGAAAACTGTACACTCTTGCATCATGCATTTTGTTTGATATCGTTGTTGTATTTTCGCTATGTTGTTTTATACAATAAGAGAATAATTTGAATTGAATTGGATTGGAGTAAGCATTCCCTGTCGACTGGTCACACCCGCCGTGTGCTCGGAAAAATCCGTCCACAATTCAGTGTGTAATTAATGGCCTAATAATTAGCATGAAAAACGTCAGTCAGCATTTGACTTTCTGACAAGGTCATTGTGTCGACCATAGAACTTGCGCAATGATGACTTCAAACGAGGCTGTTGATATTCTTATTTCATTAACTTGTTTGTAAATGGCTTGCCTCGTTTTGGAAATCGTTAAGCATGAAAAAATTGAGAGAAAAAAATTAATACATAAGTTTGGCAACTCAAATATATATTCTAACGCTATTTTGACTCGCGTTCTTCCTCCATATTCATTTATTTCTGAAAGCATTATGATTATGGTAAACTCTAAATGCCAATATTTAATAATCAATCACTCCCATGAATGAAGCGACAAATCGTCTGAAATGATAAATAATATAATTTAAATATTTTGTAGACATTATTTCGTATATTTCCTATGCTGATCAAACTTGAATTGACGATGAAAAAGATGGATGATTTGGATTCTGCACATGACAATATAAGCGACTAAAGGTAATGATTCATATAGTTTGGCTAAAAAAAATTGACGACACCTTCTTGTCCATTAATGATTCGCTTGCGTTCCTCGAATTTTGCTATGAATAAGCACATACATAGCCAAGACGATCTTTTATTTATTTATTTTTGTTGTTGTTGTTAACATCGTTTGAGGTCATATTGCACTAGTGTACACTCCAACACGTTATCATAAATATTTTGATTCGGTTCTTAGTGTCCTTTAATGTTCGTTTCAATTTCTTGAATATGTGTTTTCTTTGCTTTCCATAATTTATTACAGGTAAGAACACTCGACAATTTAAATCAGTGTGGTGCATATTGATATCTCCAAATATCAAAAGTCCGACGTAGTCTTTGGGGTTTTTGCCACAGTGGCATTCGTTGTCGTAGTCCTCTTTGATGTTGGAGTTACTGTTGTAACACCTCACTGGGTAACTGTAGAAAACTTTACTGCGAATTCTACAAGAAGTTGTACTTACGGTCTATTATACAGTCTGGATCGTCCCGGACTAGTAAGATCTGTATAACTATTAAAGACAAAATGGCTATAAAGGCA